AACTGCTGGTTAAGTTTCCATTACGGCATATTTACAGGTCTTGATATTTTGTCAGAGACAGGATACTAAACTAGAATGATCCAAACTGTTTAACAGTCTGTAAGCTCCTTCTATACACATTTCCTTTGCTCACCAAGTATTTACTTTCTGCTGATCCAACTAATGTATACCTACAGTCTGAAATGTATTACCGTAAGCAATTCAAGTCTGCACGCTGGAAGCCACACAGCGAGAAGAGAGACATAACAGTAAAGGAACCAACAAAGGATGAATGGCCAAAGAGTAGTGAAAGACAGAGTCCAAAAGCATATTCTTGCCTTTCAGTTAAAAGTTTTGTGCTGTTATGCCTTTCTTTTTTTTTTTTTAACTTCATACCTCTCTCCATTCTAAGCTTTTCACCACTTTATTTCAATCATTTACTCCATTTTCACTTTAACTTTACGGTTCACTTTTGGAAACAATCCAAAACACTGTGTGGAGGGTAGTGAGGTGGGAGGAACATTTAATGTTTTAAAGGATTACCAGACTTAGGTGATACATTTCGAGGTGTTGCTTTTCAGCAGTGCCATTGTACCATACTGTCTGCTATTTCTCTAAGTGTCATCAACTTGTCAGTTCATAAGCAGGTGTAAAGCTTTGTTCTTCCCCAAGTCTCATGTTCAGTGAAGCCAATGGAAGTCTGCAAAGAGTGTTGTGTCAGGAGTATTTTTTTTTTGCAGGGAATTTAAAAGTAAACATCTCTCTTCAAAATTAATGTCATTTTGTTGCTAAAGCAAAAGAAAGCCACAACACATTTCTAACTGGATTATTAAAAGTCTTGAAAACAGAAGAGGTGCCAGGGAGGCTGCACTTAGGAAGCACTTAAAAGTCTAAAAATCACTGGAATGTGCAAGTAATGGGAGCAAATTATAAATAAACCAAATAAAAATATCCTGACATGGAAAGATGAGCATTCCATACCAAGCCACACACATCCTAAATTCCCCTGTTGATACTTACGTCAAAAGGCAGAAAGTCCGCTGTTTGATCTTTTATAAAACAAATATATATTATCATTATGCATTTTTAAGCAATTTCCAGCATACATTGTCTCTTACATGACTGAAATATGAGTAAATTATATTAAATATGAGTAAATTATATGAAACATAAGTAACTGGACAATTTTCAGTGCTACTGCAATGAATTTAGAATGTGATGCTTCATTGTTAGACTGAGAAATAGCAGGAAAAATTGGAGCTTATCTGACTGTATCTCAGATATAAAACCCAAACGTTCAATTTTTTAATAATTCCCTAGGTGTTATTCCAAGAAGACATGAATGGGGAAAAAAAAGATCATCTTAACTATTTCAGTGGAAGAGAGATCAGTGTTACAAGTCTGGATTTATTTTCTTCTGAAAAAGACATGAATCTGGAAGCCTTCCAAGAAGATCAGAACTCAATACTCGGTGAAGTATTTTAAGAAAGTAATAAGGCTACTTGCTATTGCTGTAGAGTTATTCAAGTAGCAAGGCAGAGGACCTTCAGCTTCACTGTTTCTAATAATGCTGTTTCTAGTAATTTCAGTCAGGTTGTTAAACTACTGATTCTTCAGAAATCAAGAGCAAGAAGAGTAACTAACTAATTTCTGACTATAAGTCTGCAAAATTGTATTGCTGCTGTTGTTATTACCTTTTGTCCTAGCATGGTAAACAAGACACCACTTATATTATTTGGACAATAATTTTATTGCAATCTTGGTTCTTTTACTTGCTATGGATACTGAGATCAAAGTCTATCTCATTCTAAAATTTTATTAAGCATACCTGGAAACAATAATGCTTTTAATTTTTTCTTGCTGCTTAAATAAAATCACATATTGAAAAATTAAATATATTTAAAGCTAAGTAAATGAAAATACAGAAAACAGAGAATATATTTGTTCCTTTGTGGAAAGTGTACTGTTATCTCCCAGTTTTTAAAGATGCTAAATTTCATTTATAAATTAATTTAGGTGTTATACACAGCTACGTGATTTGACCACATACTATGAGTCTTGGACAGAGAAAAAAAACTGCAAGTTAAAATAAAGGTACCAAATTGAGGACCTCTAAAATATAAAAGCACCTCTTTCACCCCTCCTCCTCTTTCTTTTCTGTTTTACTTCTTTTGCCTCCCCCTCAAACCAGTGTTTTTAACTTGACAGTATTTCACAGTTTCTCAAGCATTTAGCAATGAGGATGTAATTGGAAAGTGCCACGTTCTTTCTTATTACACTTTATCAATATTGTTAAGAGAATGATGTAATTGTTTGGGGTTTGGTGAAGACATTCCATGTCACTTCAGTGTTAATACCAGGCTGGAGCCTTCCTTGTCTGCCTGCGTAAGCTAGATAAACACAGACCTGTGTGCTTTCTTCTCATCTCAGGATACTTACTCAGAGAGATCTTGGAACATATGCCTATTGCGAGCTAAACATTTCACTTTTCATTTTATCCATGTGCCAGAAATCCATTCCTTGGATAAACACTTTACATACTGACACTCTTAAAGTCACTAAACACGATAAATAAAGAGAGAATACATCATTTCAAAACTGATTAAACATTTTCTCACTTGTGACAAATGAACAGCTATACACTGTATGGAGTCCCTGGAGCAGACATTCCATTTTCTTTGTCTTTATTTTGTGTGTAAGATTAACTTTCCATTTCAGCTCATCTGTTGCACAATTGAGCTTTTTTAAAATACACATTGCTGCATTTTCTTCAAATCATTATTCATTTCAGAAATATTTTCTTGTTATTGCTGCAAGAGTTTTTCTTTTAGACTTTTGTATTTTAATGGAGACATCAGATTTAATATTTTGCACCCAAACTAAACAAAAAAAAAAAAAAGAAAATTCATAGTTTTTAATGAAAGGCAAAGAAATGCTTTCATGCAGTAGACCTAAACTTATACATGGGCTGAAGTTATCCACTTCAACAAGGAAAGTCCTAGCACATTAATCACATTAACTTTGCTTCATCTAATCCATCACTTTTCCTTGCACTACTTGCTTGTCTAGTCATCCTATGCACTGCTATTCTACCTATGATTAGTCAAATGTAACTAATCTTTTATTTAGCTTTTTAAGCTCTCATCTTCTTTTTCACCCACCCCTGCAAAAACAGATCCCAGGCATTTTATTTCTAAGCTAAATTAAAGATCTTAGTGAAATAATTACACATAATACTAAAACTATACATATATGTTAAAATAGTCTTGACTATTTTAAAAAATACCACTAATCTGATCAAGAATTTCAGTGGAAAGGTGGAAGGAAGAAAGAAAGTGTAATGTAGATACTAGTAAAAATTACTTTGTTTCGATATGGTCCTAGCATAATTCCCTCATATATTCCACAAAAGATTGTGCCTGTGGATATCCTTGCTAGATATTCACAGTAAAGAGGAACAATGAAGCTGAATTTTCTTCTTTGATAAACTATATAAAAGGAGCTGCTACATTCAACATGGCAGGAAAAGAAAGAATTAGGACAAGTCAGAAGGAGCAGACCAAGCTAAATAAGAATCTATGGAGCAGTTTGCTTTCTTGCCCCATATTGTGGATGCGAAATAAACCCATAGGAAGTTTTTGATATTATGGTTCCAGCCTGGTCAGGGAAAAAGAGTAGAACAGAGAATGAATTAGACACCAAAAGAAAGTGACAAGTCACAAGATTTCTGAACAGATTGCAGATTCCATTGTCATTAGATTTCTGTCAGTTCGTGACTTGTAGTCTAATCCATTTTTTACAGGAGAAAAAGTTTCCTTAAAAGAGCAGTCAGTGACCACAAAAGTCTTCTGAGAGCAGTATCTTCCCTCAAAGTTTCATGTGAAGGAAAATGTTAAGGATAAGAATTATGTAACAGAGCAGCTAAACAAACCTAGGAAATGTCAGGAATGTCTTTCATATATTAGAGCAAGAGGTATCATACTAAGCCAAAGCAATATTCCTTTTGTTGCATTTTTTTCCATCATGATCCCACAACATCAATGGTGGACCCACCATCTCCTTTCAAGTAAGAAGGAAGGTTCTTCTGACAGAGGAACACTCACTCTACCCTTTTCAGTTATTATCTTCAGTCCATGGCCCAAGGGAATGGAGAGAAAATGCAGTGCTGTACCAGGAAAGATGTCAGTCTCACTGTGGCATTACTGCAAGCAGCAAATTTGGGTATCAAGGCCATAGGATGGCTACCAAACCATAATAAAAAGTAGAAAATTTTATACTGATATCTTTTATAGGAATCCTATTGAAAGACTTCACAATTCTGGGAACATATAATGGATATATTCACTACTATATATTCAGTAGCAGTGGTAGCTAGTACAAAATGATGATGTTATATTTAGTGAAAGAAAAACAAACATAGACTGCTAGTTTCACTAAATCTGGACTATAAATGGCTTGGGTAATATTTTGATCTCTTGTTGGGACAGATAAAAATCTGTCCCATTTAAACACTTCTTCTGGAGAACTCTTCCAAAACATCAGAAGAAACCACAAGTTGTGCAATGCAGCAAGGTTCTCAATTTTGAAAACTTTCTCAACTGCACACATCTGTAATGAAATTTAATGAGGTATTTTGGGGTTTTTTTGCCACAAAAATTATTTGAAGGTCTATTAGTAATTCTACAAAGGAAGTCACATTATTATCTAATATGATTAGTATATTAAAAATATTTTAATTTTTTGTTATAAAATGGACATTTTATAAGCACGGGAAGTGTTACCTAATAAATTACGTTTGTTTGGGAAATTTTCTGAATGACAAGAGACACAATATTTCTCTAAAGAATTTCAAACTTTTTTCCTAGTTGTCAAATTAAAATTGACAATAAATGAATATCACTTAGTTTTCTGAGTGCATTTCTATCACTGTTCAAAAATACAATAATTCAGGTTACCGATACAGCAACCTCTACAAAAACACATTCTTCAAAGAAAGGTTTTACTGCATTGTTCTTTCTTACCTTTTATGTGCTTCTGTTAGTGACTTCTCTTCATTTTCTTGGTCTATTTTAGCTGTAAAAATACAATCAAATAATTAGTAACAAGGTGAAAGATCAAGATGTTTCAGGATATTTTTAATTGTAAATATGTCATATGTAAAATATACAGAAACCACCTGAGGATATACCCATGTAGATCAATTCTGAAAGAAAAGCAAACAAACAAACAAACAAAAAACCCATCCAGCAAAAACCAACACGAACAATAGGGACTTTGATAATCCTATTAAAAAGAAATCCAAAACTATAACCACAACCCCTGTCCCCCAAAAAAAACTCAAAGCAAGCTTTGAAAATTTTAAAAAAATAATAATCTTGCAGTAATATAAGCAAAACAAAGTCATAAAAGTGACTTAAAAACAGATCTCAAATAATGATTCCAAAAACTTAGATATTATGGAAAATTGTCTACTGAGGAAAAGCTGAATGAAGAACAGGAAGGATTCAGCCTTATAGTTTTTCTAAAAGTTGCTTGACAGTTACAAATAAAAACTCTCCCCTCTCCCTGCACACATATCAGTTAGTGAAGTACTACGGCTGTAGCAGGCCCATATTGAAAACATGACTGTTTTTATATGAAGGAAATTATCATTTGGTGATCATGGGAAGGAAGTTACGAAAAAGAAACTGTCGTTGCCACATATCCTTGAAAAAATTATCTATTTGCTGTGAGTGTTCCCATAATTATTTTGCACCCATTTCACTTAACTTAGATGGGTATTCTGACACAAAAAATTCATAAGAATATGCACATTAACTTAGACATCACCAAGGTGCAAAGCAAGTGCCAGTCTGCTCTGTGCATGTGTGCTCAGGTGAGATTTATATTTACGTAGTTACTCAGATAACACAACTTAAATCCGATTTAAGATCTGCATGCTTTAGCTGAAAGCTTTTTAGTTTGGTACTTGATTCCCCTTTTTTAGTCTGCTGGACTTCTGGTCTGCTAATTTGCAAGGTGAATTTTAGGATTCCCAAAAGTCAGTAGATCTTGGGACATGAAGAGGCTCTGAACTGTCCTGGTAACAAATGTCAATGGTAAAAAAATTCATATAGAAATCTAAAAAAGAAGAAACTTTTAAGCTATTTTTATTCCACTTTCCCAACAGAGCTCTACAGGAATAATTAATTAAAAATATTTTGCTACATTGTAGATACACTGCCTCTGAAAAGGTAAATCCTGATTTTAAATCCAGCAAAAAACAAAAGTAATGGCATAATTAGGGTACAAAGATAATCACTGGTTTTCTGTTACAAATGTTTCAATCAACAGCAATATGCAAACATACACTGAAATAGGCATGAGAAATTTGTAGCAGAGATACACAAATGGAATTTCCTTATAATTTCTGCAGTCACAACAATGATCAGAGTTTTGTCCAATGCTGCAAATACTTTTTATTAGTAGCAACGCAGTCTGCTGTGTAGGGTGAGCAGTGCCAGGACGTTTGCAGCAGAAAACATTGCATTTAGTAATCATTACTTGAAGACTGTGGCTCCATCATTGTTATGCTGAAACTGAAAAAAAATCCCAGCAAACCACAAAAACTTGAGGGAGAGATGGGTAAATGTTCTCAAGGAAATTGAAGAGCATGTGAATCTTGCCTGATTACAGGTTTCAATACTGACTTGAAACTCAGCCCAGATTCTTCAAAAGGTTTGTGAGGGCTCACAACCCTTTTAAGTGAGCTTGAGCCCAGTGTTGACTGAATTTGGGCTGACCTAGAATTTTTCTTTAAAGCCTTGCATTGCTTTGGATAAGAAACCAGGTGAAACACCGCAGCTTTGACAGAATTTCATTACTACTTTTTTTCTCTTCATATATCAATCCTGAAGGTCAAGGTATGACTGGTAAAGACATAAAGTTCAAAAGCAAATAAAAACTGCACACAAACTCCCCAGATGAAGTGACATCAAACATCTAATTCTGTATTAACCCATTCACTAAGTATCTGTGGATACAACTTTTAAAACCAATCATTCTATTACTGAAAAATGTAATTTGCATTCTTTCAGTCAGACAATACTTAGAAATGGAAGCTAGCATGTTCCAGCCTATGATAGTCTTTTAGTACATACATCATATTCATAGGATATAATTCTTTTTATCATTTCCAGGACTGATGAGATAGAATATCATTCAAGCTGCCAATTTTGGATCTTTTCTTCTTTATTTCAACTGTTCTGTGCATATGTACATACAATTATTTACCCACTAACAATGGAACAAATATTGCACTATTTACTTTTTGAGACAGCAAGCATAACATACTATCCTAAGCTTATGAAACCATGTCATAATATCACCATTATGGCACAAGTTTCCTATCAATTAAAAAAGAAAGTTACTATGGTTCAGAGAAGAAGAAGAAAAAAAAAAAAAAAACAAATCAACGTACTTCTGGTATCTGTATTTTTAATAATTTAATAGATAATGGGTATTACACAATGAAAAGAATTTTCAGAATCCCTGAACGATGCAGGTGCATGTAATAGTGCATTTTTATTTTTTTAAAGTAATAAGCAGATATGCATAAGGCAGCTACTATACTCAGAAAGAGAGATTTCATCCTGCATCAGATCACCTTTTGGCATTAACAAGAGTCTTGCAAGGAAAGAATTTTCTCTGAAGTAGAATTCCCTTGTAGTTTGGTCCAAATGTAATGACACCTTAACACATTTTGTATATTATCTAGAGGATATTTTTCAAGAGTAATTTTAATTTGCAACCCTTTTGCTTTCTCATTTTTCTAGACAGAAAATGTTTAAGAAGAGAATGGAAACAATTCTGCTTCCACAAGATCACAAGTGGCACAAGTGAAAGAGAAGAAAACATGGTATATACACTTAAAAGATCTGTCCCTGTCCAAAGAAAATATTCAGGTGACTGTTTTTGCATTAGTATACAGTAAACATCCAAAAGCTGTAAAAATTAAGGGGAGAAAGTCTCCTTTTATCAAAACAACAAAAGTCTTACAATCTCCTGGATACAATGGAACAACATGTTGAAGCAGTTGGAGATTGCTATAACTTCTGGAACAAGCCACGAATATGATCATCTGATAAAAGTAGTTATTGGTATTTTGCTCTGTACTAATCACTCCATTGGCAAACTGCTTTCATCTTATTTTTCCTGTTTGAGTAGGGAAGGAAATAATTTAGTTATGATGGATTCAATTAAGTGTCCCAGAATGCACTGGAGTATCATTTCACTCAATATAATGCATATTTACTAGTAGTCACTTCTTCCTCCAAAGCAGTTCATCACAAGTATAAAAACAGTGCCTGAAAGGCACTAGTTTGGCTTCTTCCTTTTGGTAGCCTACATTCATTAAGTGCCAAATACTAGCTGAAAGGTGTCCACCTTGGGAGAATATTTGTGACAGAAAAGTGTATTTCCAGTTACAAAAGAGAACACCTCCAGTAGGTTAAATAAAAAAGAGAGTATCCATACCCACTCTACAGGGATACAGGAAAATTTAACATTTCCATAGATACCATGGCAGATGAGCATATCTGAGCACAATGTTCTGCCACTAAAATTATACTCTATCTTCAAGAAACAAGATCATTTCAGAAAGTCTTATTGATTTGCTTTGAAAAACATTTTTAAAAGTCTTGAAGTCATGAAGTAGCCATATCTGTTTTCATATATATTTGGAATCCATCAGCTGAACACAGCAGTGACTGCTTGCAGTTTTTCTGATAGATGTAGGAGTTCCCACTCTTGGGTCAGTTTTACTTCCCAAATATTCTATATTTTATTCACTCATCATCTTTTCTAAAACGCCCAGCTAAGAATTGTTTCCTTGATCCTTGATACCCACATGCTAAACCACCTAAAAATACACTGTTCCAAATCTATTAAAGACTGTATCATACCAGCAAATACTAGACACTCTATTTCATGTAATGCATAAGTAACCAAAGGTAACAGTTTTATATGTCTGCCTTCATACACTCTAAACAAAATAGGGTTTTATATACAGCTTTCATAATCCTGAAGACATATATTCTGTAAAATCCACTTCAAACACTGAAGCTGAAAAATAACCTTAGGTCATACTGAAAAACATGGCCATCTCAAAAAACCAGAACATTTTAGAAAGAAAGTGACCTCTCACAGACCAAAGCTACTTTATCAAATATTTACAACATACACTGATTTAGTTATCTTTTCAGTTTTGAAAACATCTTTAATGCCTTCTTGTTGGATGACATTCCACTGGTTCCCTGCTTTTTCCATTAAGTTACCTTCAGATTATTTAGAGTTGTTCTCTCTTTAGAGCAAGGTCTATACCTCCTAAACACTTTATGTATTTGGTCAAAATTCAAGTACATTCCTTCCTCCCTACATCATTGCTTACCAAGCATGACGACTGTACTATATCTGAGGCTCTTGTATCAATTCTTTTAACTACAGGACATATGTATTTCTTCAAAAATTACTCACATAAGGTGTTCTAACTTCTATCTTAACATTTTTTGTATTTACTTAAATTTACTGCTTGATGTTTTATAATTGGGGCATAAAACTGGATTTCATGCAGTTCAAAATGAGCTTTCAAACAAGATCTCACAAATGAAATCTAATTAACTTATTTCTCAAATGTTCTGTTGTTATCAGCATATATCTACATTCCAGAATGATACATACCATTGCTCCATGTTTGCTCTTCCAATTCTTTTTGATTAGAGTCCTGCAAAGGTTACATATAAACTTCTAGAAAGGCACATATAGGAGTAGTCATACTAAAGTGACCTATGCATTTTGGAAAATCTGAAGTATCTCACCAAATCAAACGTGGAAAACATGAACAGGCATTCTAGAAAATGCTAGTCTTCAGCAGAACAGTATAGTTCACTTTTCTATAATTAGGCTTTCTTTTTTAAGAAGCCTAGAAGATGAAATTAAATGAAAAGGAATTCAAATTTAAGGACATAAACCATGTATTAACCACAAATTGTCCCCTCTGACCTATATGGGAAGTGACATTTTGGATCTGTTATGCT